TCCACACCTCCGTTAGATATCACTCGGTATCATCTGTAGACTCTGAGATAATATTGTAAGTGTTCTAAAAATAGCGAGTTAAACCAACATTTCGCCGTATAAGTGAAGAGAACCGGCGCCGTTTCGCAGGGAGACGTGTAACTTCATTGCAGAGCGTCCATGTGAATTATCCGCGCGGCTCGCCGGACCCACGGCTCTATGAATAGACGCGGTGGAGGCAGCTGTATTTTCCGAGACACCGTCCAGAGCTGTGGCCCAGCTGCAGCCTGACAACTGGCTGAGATGAGATGGCCTTCTGGTGGAGCTGTCCCATCCCCCACAGGTGCTGTCCGCTGCAGAGTGACCAGGGGGCTCCCTCGCTCCCGGAGCCCCCCCCCCCCCCCCGTCCCCTGGATGTGACGCCATACCTTTTTGTTCAGTTCTTTTGTTTCATCCCACTCCTAATTACTACAGCACATTTCTGGCCTCACAGAAAATAAGTGCTGTCTTTAAGCATGAGTTCCGTTATCTAATTTGTGTCACGCTGCGGACTGTAATTTTTCAACATTCAAAAAATATTTAAAAACTTCTTTCTTTTTTTCCTTTCTCTAACTTTGCCAACAGTGGCTCTTTGGCTTCTGTCGTCGCGATGAAGTTTCACAGATAATGCTTCCAGGGATTTGTGAGGATGCCGAAGAAGTCTTTCCTTTTACGACGTGCTGTGAGACTTCTCACCTGTGACCAGATGGACTATGGAGGGGTTACGGTTAAGCTTATCGTTCCCTGTTTTTAATGAACGGGGTTAGAGTTAGGCTCTGTGATATCTGACCTCATGATGTTCCCCTTTATACTCCCTCTTCATCTAAAAAGGAATAAGACACTATGTGAGGCAGTTTTTGCCATTGGGGAGTGTAACCCTAGATAATCCGTGCCGGGCTGCTCCGGTAAACATGTCCCTATCGGTACCATGCCCGCCTTGCACCTCCCTGGCATGCTGCCCGCTGCCCACTGCCCGCCCCCCCGGCTGCTGAATGCACACTTCCCAGCCTTTTTGGTTAATGCCGCTCACACACTTCTTAAATTGGCGATTTCTACTGAAGGTTTTTTTCTGTTTTGCTTTTAAATAAATGTATCCGTGTGCGGACACACGGCACGAAGCGTGTTCCCCCTCTGCCTCCCCATGCCGCAACCCCATGTGAGGACACACGGCACTAAGCGTGTTCCCCCTCTGCCTCCCCATGCCGCAACCCCATGTGAGGACACACGGC